CCTTACTTATTGTGTTGTTACTGTATGTAATGCTACTGCTACACTGCAATTTCCCAGCTTGGGGTCAATAAAGTATAAAAGTATAAAAGTCTGTCTGTCTATCTATCTATCTATTTACCTTTCTATAAATCCTCAAAGCGCTAAAAAATCTTCATCTACAATTCTATGACAAATGAGGCAAACTCCATCTGCTGATGAAGACCAAGTGGTACGATTGAAAGTTCCAGAGCAGCTACACTGACCTTGGAGTGAGATTTCTCAATTAGTTTATTAAATAAATAATGCCAATGAATGTTTTTTCTCAGTATTTTAACTTTCTTTTTTGGTTTATTTAGTGATGAATATTTAGAATTTATAGAAAACCACATTTTCAGTGGCTTGGCTTTAAAAGAAATGTCAATATTGGAGGGGTAGCCGGTTCCAGTCCTGTACTTTAAGTTTTAAATTTTGGTGGTGGGCTACATGACTGGACCACAGATTTGAGCTATCAGTGGTAGTAACCTAATCCACCATACCAGAACCAAGAAATCCCCCAAATCCTCACACAGTGCATGCATGGACACAAAATGTATCAATGCTGCAAACATTCACTTATTCGTGTTCAAAATGTTCACTGGATGTATCCTGATTAACACAAGCTACTGGTGGATGCTGGGTTATTGAACTTAACCAAAATAAAAATGACCATTTATGCTGACATGCTGAGATTATACGTTTCCACTGCAAAGGTCTGGTTATTATATCTCAACAAGTTTCTCCTTTTCAACTGTGAGTGCTACAACACACCAGAGGAAGACGACCACTAAACAAGAGAAGAAGTTAAGGTAGAGTAGTCAATGGAGGAAGTGAATATGAAAAATATTTCTGCTTTTACAGACCAGCATTGACGCTAGCAATGGATGAGATCAAAACACAACATATGCTGCCCATATTATTTGGAGATTAAAGTGTCACATGTCCAAAGATAACTACAACTTCAAACAGACTACAGTCATAAAAATACTGGAACAAATCTGATAAGCTAAATAACACTTGGCCAACTGGAAGAGCATACACTGTGCTCTAGATTATTATGTTTGTTACATGCAGGAAACCAGTAACTTCAGCAACTATTGTCACTAACTTATATTAATAACATTTAGTTTCAGATAATAAAAAGAGGTAATATTATCAAAAATACTAGAGAGGAAATCATTCAAATCAAATTGTGTTTGAGACAGAGTTATAATTATATTATTTGTTTAATGATTATTATTGTTATTTGTTTGCTTAATGATTATTATTATTATTATTTGTTTGCTTAATGATGATTGTTATTACTTGTTTGCTTAATGATTATTATTATTATTATTTTTATTATGTTTGCTTAATGATTATTGTTATTACTTGTTTGTTTAATGATTATTATTGTTATTGTTTGCTTAATGATTATTGTTATTACTTGTTTGCTTAATGATTATTATTGTTATTATTTGTTTGTTTAATGATTATTGTTATTACTTGTTTATTTAATGATTATTATTATTAATTGTTTGCTTAATGATTATTATTGTTATTATTTGTTTGTTTAATGATTATTATTATTATTATTAGTTTGCTTAATGATTATTGTTATTACTTGTTTGTTTAATGATTATTATTGTTATTATTTGTTTGCTTAATGATGATTGTTATTGTTTGTGTGTGCTAATGTTTTCTTGTTTAAAATGTATGAAATGTATATATATTGTTTCATTGACATTCATTCATTCATTTCAAGCAACTGAACGATATCTTGATAAATCTCAAGTATACCTCGCCATATCCTAGAGTAATTTCAGTCACATTGTACTTCACACAGTGTCTAAACGAAGTAAACTCTGTCCTGGCCTTGATGAACTCACAACCCGAGTTATATAAGCATTATATTCCTGCCAATACACCGGCTTTATAGCGATAAATCATAAATGTAACGTTAACGTTAATGTAATGACACTACAAGACGCACACAGCACACACTGCTAACAGAGAAATACACAACCTGAACATAACTCATCTGTTATGTGTCACAGATGTGCGTGTTATAAGTATAAACAGCCCCAAAGTAGGATGATCACAACTTTAAAACCCGACACCACGGTGAGGTAACGTTAACCCGACGCTAGCTGCTGTTAGCTGCTGTTAGCTGCTGTTAGCTGCACGCTTCCTGAAGCTAACGTCACTCACCTGCCCTCCGATGGTGATGTCGAAGAACACAATGGGGTTGTTGGGGTTTGATGGTGGAACAGACATTGTGACACTTTCCTTTGCTCTTCAACACAAACTCAATGTGCTGTTTGACGTTTACACGAGGATCATTTGAATGTCCAGCATATGCGCCGTTAGGACCTACGGTGGCTCAGGAGAGACGTCTTACGGCTAGCAGTTGGGGACAAAATACTGCCGTCGCGAGAAAGCGCGATAGTAAAGGTAATGTAGATGTACAGTTATTGTCATGTAGCTTTGTGAGTATTTATGCTGTTGCACTTCAGTACAATACCTATTAGCTGTCCATAAGCCCCACACTGTTAACTGGAGAGTCAATTAGCCAGGTCATAATAGTAACCTTTAAATTATACTTTATAATAAGTAACCAATGTTTGAGCACATCACATCTACTGAGCAGCATTCACTCAGACCATGGTATGAACAGAATTATATGATATAGCACTTCTACCAGTGTTGGACCTTTCTTTAGCCTTAAAGAAAGACACTTATATGTAAATTAATATGGTTTCTTGACATTGACGCCTATTCTTTTTAAATCATAATTTAAATATGTAACTCAGATTCAGTTTCTCAGATCTTTACCTCCTAACATCATTTTAAAAAGACTGGCAAACGGACTGCTTTTACATATTGCTGTTAACCAAAGGGTTACAATGAGACTCTCATTCACTCATTCAACAACACTCCACCTGCAGCTGCCTTTGTGCCCTGTTAGTGAATATGACTAACTTCTGAACGTGACTAATAATAACAGCACTGTGATTTGTGTCATTTAATTATCACAGACCAGTTAAATTACTAAAAAATTAGTAAATACGAATTTGGGTTTTTCCATAGGTATTCAATATTATTTAATTCATCACCTGGCGTGCAAACATCTTGGTTTCTCTGCCCAACCAATCGCTGTTACTAGTCTCAGACGGTCAACTGCGATTAAAATCACGTTACTGCGGTCAAAACTACACACGCATACTTTATATACACTGTATATACACTGTTACTATTTGGGGTTGAGCAAACAACATTAAAAACTTTGAATACTGACATTATAACAACACAACAGTGTTGAAAGAACTGCCAAATATGATGCCTTTTACAACTTTTTTCAATCAAACAAGATCTCCCCCAAAGGTTCAGTTAACAATTTATTGATCTTTTTTTTTACATGCCAACCAATTGTTTCTTTAGAGGTCACATTTTCTCCGTTGCCTTTTTATGACAGGATATAAAAAATCCTCATCAACAACTGTGCTGAACACATAAACCCATAGACTAAGAACATCCTGTCAGTACCAAATCCCACCTGAGATGTGAATATTTTATTTGGGTTTGGGTAGGAGCACAAAAATTTAAACGTTGCACCCAACTTTGGGATTTACGATCAAAAGTCTAATGACTTATTACATAACATGACATAATATAACATTACTTAAGTGTCAGTGATTGCGTTTCAGTCACAGGTTAGATGCCTGCTTAGAATTATTTGTGTCTAAAGTTTGAAACATAACTGTGGAGATGAAAATGTTAAAGACAGTGAATGTTGAAAATCTTAAACAACATTTAACACATATTCTGAAATACATACTACCTAGTTCTCTTCAAAATTTCCGCTGTTTGTCTGAGTAAAACACATCATTGAGACAGAAAGGCAGTTTTAAATCATCTGTTTGTCTACATTGGATAGAGTTAATTCACTTTGAATGAATCAATTAAATCTTAATTAACTTAGTATTTTTTACATTCAGATCTATCAAACATGGT